CCCTGGAGTGGAACGTAAGATTAAAGTAAGAGCAGCAGAAAATCCACATAATATGACCAAAGATTAATAGATATATATATATATATATATAGCTAAGAAGCACCTGGGATGAGTACTGTTCTTCACGGCTTTCTGTCCATACTTCCTCCACCGATACCCATCGTCGAGTATATCATTAGCACTCCTCGTCTGAAACGCAAATCGCGGTCTGCTCACCTTCTTCCCCCTCCCGCTCACAGCCTTCCTCTTCTCCCTCCTCTCCCCCACCCCATTAACACCCTCCCCTTCCTCCTTCTCTTCCCCTCTCTGATCCTCCATTAACGAACTCCCGCTCCCTCCATTCGGAAACACAAGCGGAGCGAAGCCGAAAGCGGTGGAGTTCGGTTGCAAGGCCGCATCTTGTTGGAATAAGTCTGGTGGAAGGAGAGGGGATGGAGAGAAGAAGGTGTTGTCAGGAAATAATGGCGGCAAATGATCTCCTCCTCCTAAGTACTGTTCCATGAGGAGTTGGAGGGGATGGAGTGAGGAGAGAGAAGAGGAGGGATTTATTTAAATGGTAGAATGAGTGAGACATACGGATAAAGATGGAATTTTTATTGTTGGTGGTGGTTAGATAATGTGATTCATGGAAGGTGAGGGGAGGTTGGGCAGTGTTAAGTGTAGCGGAGTGAGGAAGAAGGAGGAGGGGAGAGATTAGAGAGAAAGAGCGGGGTGGAGGAGATAGAGAGAGAGAGGGTGTAGAGATAGAGAGAGAGGGGAGGGACCAACTATACCTCAACTAATATGTTTTGTTCAACCGCCTATCTGACCCCATCTACAGTAGAGAGCTTGTGGATGGATTAATGGAGTGAGTCAAGGTGTGGGAGTTGATAATTTAATGTTTAGGGGAATTTGCATGCATGTCACATAATTCTTATATATTTACATGTTTAATGTCTAAGGGCTTGTTTGGGGCAGCTTATTTAGTGCAGTGGCGTTTTAAAAACGCACCTGATTTGTTTGGGTAAACTACGTTTTAACAGCTTGTGCATTTTCAAAACGCTGAAAACAGCGTTTTCACACCGCACCTATCTAGGTGCGATGACAGCTTTATAACTGCGGTCGGGTTTTTCCATAAAAATAAAAATTTGTAATAGCTACCCTACATAGCTTATCAATAGATTGTTCAATAAGCTACAACTGCCCCAAACAAATCATAAATTTTCATATTTACACATTAATATTGTATAACCAGTATCACGACGATTGACTTTTTAAGAGAAGTGCATATTTTCATGGTCACTTGCATATGTTGTGTTAGATGTGTAAATATAAAGGAATTGTTTGGTATGTATGTAATTTTTTCTTAAAGGTATATTATGGCAAGCTGATTGGTTTCGTGATGAGTACTCTTTAGAAGGCTTCTGTTTATTAAAGAGAGTTAAATAAGTTAAGATACACGTGAAATATTGACTGAAAAAAATAAGGAAAAAATAAAGTAAAATAAGTTTATGCCTATTTTATTTCGTATTTCTTCCTATATATTCACACAAGGGTTGAATTTGTGGTATTTAGAGCTCAAAGGCAATGACATAACTCATTCCAACTTACTATTGCATGTCAATGTCATGAAAGTTAAATATTGCATGTAGTTCTATAAATTGTATGTAATTAATGATGATTAAAGAAAGATATTTTTTATGATAAATGAATGGCCCATAAAAATGATTTCTAATGATAATTTTTTTTTTTTCAAAATATTGGATATTTGATTATCTTATGGACTTGTCAATCAAGCTCAAGATCATGAACTTGCAAGCCGAGTTAGAGAGTGACTCGTCAAGCAAAGCTCAAATCAAACTCATAAGTCGAGTTCAAGTAGAAATCTGTTGGATTAGAGATAGATTTATTTGCATGGATTGGGATAAATCTATCAGTCAAATTCAATAGATACTTGCTCATCAAGTTCGTGAAGAACACTTCAAACTCATAATGAACTCATTGGGTTAAAGGAGTTTAGTCGCAAACCAAGAAGCTATTTCGTGTGTCTATTAGAAGAACCAGTGACTATCTTCCAACTAACTAATTGAGTACAGAATGTGTTGAGCAAGTTAGAGGGATGAGTAGTGCTAATTAAGAGGCAAATAGATATATGCAGCTTGTGTTCTGCTCGTCCGTTAAGTAAACGAGCTGAACACAAACAAATTTTTAAAGCTCGGATTATAAACGAGGCGAACACGAACAACTCTTTTCGCTCGTGTTCCGCTCGTTTTATTTCAAAATAAAAACAATTATATAATTATTTATATAATAATATATTATATATATTCATATCTAAGTTTAAATCGTAACTACTTGTGTGGTGATGTGGTTATACGTCTTCTTTTGCACACATTTGGTCCAGGTTCAAATCCAACACTCTACATCTATTTTTTTAGTTTAATTTTAACGAGTCAATTTCAAGCTGAACACGAACACGAATACACTGTTCAAGAGCCAGTTTCGAACACGAGCCGATTTCGAACATGAGTTATTTTGAAAGAGCCGAACATGAGCCTAACTTGAGGCCCTAGATATGGAGGACAAGGATTTGAGTTAATTGTAAGTGGCGCATTTACATTTATACCACTCAATTCCTATGTATTTACATAAGCAACATCTAAGCTTCACTTTTTATATTCATACCGTCCAGATCTTTCATATCACATAAAAATAATCATTATTTTAACTTAAAAAATTCTGATGCAATTTAGTAAAGCTCTTTCTCTCTCATCTCGAAGGTTTCTCTTTCATGGATCATAATTAAATGCAAGCTTCACCATTAAGCCCCAAGTTTGAGTCATTAATGGACCACGTCGGTGATAGAAACATTTCATAATTAAACAGCGTCAGCATAATTAATTATAGTTTTATTATAATTAACTTATGTTAACTGAAGTGAGGGCTAAGATGAAAATAAATAATAATAATAATAATAATAATAAAATAGGATTACTTGTCTTCCACCTAATGTCAAAGAGTCCGGCACGATAAGCTAATCTGGTACGAAATGCATGCTAGTCATTTAATTAAGTTAATTAATTAATTAATTAAGGCTTCGAGAAGAAAATGGTGAAGGGAAGAACTGGTAGGAAAAATGTAGTAGTTGTTTTTTTTTTTTATTTAATTAAGATTATGTACTCAAGTTCACTAATGGACAGAAGAAAAGGACATCCCTCAAGGGCTGGGCTATGAAATTGGCTTGAAGATTGTAAATCGCTTCAAAATCGGATCGGATTTTACCTCGGATTGAAATCAGATCGAACCATTCGAGCCGAGCTACTAGTTAAATTAAAGGTTTGAATTTATTTCGATCCAATTTCGTTTCGTTCTCTGTTCGGATCGGGATTAGATCAAGATCGAAATAAATTCTTATGTATTTATATATTTAACAACTAAAGTTTTAGATTTTACATGCATAATGCATTGTCAGCATGGTTGGTGAGGGATTTTTTGCTTGAGAGGTGTGGTTAATGCTCTAATCCTCTCTTTTCATAGAAAAAAAAAAAAACATTTTTTGTTGGTGGGCGGGCCAAGGCAGATTCGAGCTGGACCAATCAGGCTCACAAGCCAAAAATGGCATTCGTGCCAGTTCATTTACAATTCAATCTGGCTCGAAAATAGGTTCAACCCACACCAAATCGGATTATTATCTTCTCCTCTATGGTCCTATCTCTTACCAAAGCTAAGAAGGATCGAGGGAGGAGACTTCTACTCCATTTTTCCTTCGCCAATAGTCCTCTCAAGTAAGGTGTCTCCCGGGTCATGTGAAATCACGAATGATATGGGACTCTACATCCTAAAAGAATTCAAGAACATTCATACTACTTAAATTTTCTATATATATATATATATATATATATATATAGTATATATATATATATATATATATAAGTTACAAGATAAGAAATGATAAGTCAATTGATTGCTATATGGATGGGCTTGATAAAATCATACCTAACCGTTAAAATAAAGATGTGATAATCGAAGATGAAGAGCACACTCTTTGATGGCTAAGTTTTTTTTTATCAAAATCCTATGTGAAGTTTAATTAAGGATTTGAGTTAGCATGCAAAAAGTCACTTTCAATCAAGGAGATTCAAGTTACACTAATTTTGCAAAGAGAAAAAAATCACATAAAAAATGAGGCATGGGAGGGTAATTCTATGAAATAGAGCTTGTATTTTGGTACGAACCATAAATAATTTGTCAAGTTAAAACTTTACATCTGCAATAAAAAAATATATTTTTTAAAAGTTATTATTTAATAATAAATCAGTAAAATAGAAGAAGCCACAGAGAAATTGAGGAAGCGGTTATTGCATCAGATGAGTATGATTATGTTGAAATGTTGGGATCAAGCATGCATTCTGACAATAAATGGATAACAGGCACAAGTTGATCATTTCGAATGTCTCCTGAAAAAGTTTGGTTTGAATATTTAGAGCCAATTATTGATAGACCTCAAGTGCTTCAGGGCAACAATAAAGCCTACAAGACTTCAAATTGCACATATTTTACTAGAAATGCTACACCTAAATGGGTATACATTCAAGCTTTAAATGAGATTTTGAGCATTTAAATGCAATTTTATAGTGATGAAGGATACTAAAAGAAATGACATTTGGTTATACATATTATCAAGTCTATTTTCATTACTTTGGTGAATGGCATTAATAAGGTTGAATTAGTTCATAATGATGAATGAAATTTCAAGCATTAGGTAAACATCAGTAGTTATGTGATGATCTAATTGGGGCATTCGGCTTGTGTATATAGTACACATCTTGGGTAAGACATGTAAAATAACACACAATTCACATTAATCTTGTGATACTTAGCGGACAGAACATCATCAATGTTCATATTGACAATCTAATTTTTACGTTCTTATGACACTTCTATGATTCAAAAAATAATGATTTTATTGAACTTATGGGATCCATCAAGGTTTTAAAATAATGATTTCTTATGATTCTTATATGCATACCATTTTACCTATGCATGTAAGAATGGATTTGGCTTGTGAGCAGTGATAATTAGTGATAGTTTTGATGCGATAGAAAAGAATTGAATGATATGCAGGTAGGTAGATACGTAGATTTAGGTGCGAGACGTGTTATTGAACAAGAATTACGTGCTATGTATATAAAAGCCCCGTAAGCTTATGCATAAAAATTCTATTCCATAAAAAGAAGGAAAAAAACTATGTGATATTAAATATTTATGTATCATACATATAAATATTAAAATTTGAGTGTTGGATATTTAGATAAATATAAAAATTGTAGTTGGTATATATGTAAATGGCCCAAATTGTAATTACATTCCCCTTAGCGTAATCCCCCTTCCCCCGCAGTTCTTCTTCATATCTCCTCATTTTTGCTGTTCGGGAAGGATTTAGGTTAAATCCTGCTGCCATGCGGCGATACGGAGGAAATCTCTACAGAGAAACAAAGGGGAAGATAGCATTACTCTAGATCGGACTTAACCTAATTAATTGTAGTTTCAGCGCTTTTTATTGAACTGAAATTTCCGGATTCGAAACTTGTTCTATTGTTCTTCACGGATGGCTCAATGATGAAGAGGAATTGTAGGTAAGATGATTGTTCATGTTTGGATTGATTTTGAGAAAGAAAATATATATATTTCCTAATATAAACTAGTGATATATGCATATGGAGGAAGATTGTGTGGTTTTATATATATATATATTTCCTAATATAAACAAGTGATATATGCATATGGAGGAAGATTGTGTGGTTTAGATCCCTTTGGCGATGGAAAGTTCAGGGTTTTATTTTATTTTGTTGGATGTAGTTATCTGAATGTTGTTTAGAGTCTGATGTTCTAATGCATTTTGGTGGATATAAATTGTATATTTTATTGACAAGTGATATTTGTCTTTTTAGAATCATGGTCGAATATTTAAGAATTCAGCATGAGAGTTTCCTTTATAGCTGTTAATTAAACACGCAAAATAATATAAATATATAGTTATATGAATATGAATATATATTTATACTTATATGTGAGAAAGATATATATAATTCTGGCATTTAAGCGTGTATAGCGCCTTCATTTAGAAATTTTTAATGCCAAATTATAAATAGGCTACACACACACATAAGTAGAATGAGGCTGAACTCTTAAACATCAATGCGCCTTTTGGTATAATGGTTGGAATCTCATTCAGAAGCTTCTCAGGGAGCACTCTCATGATGGGCAACCTCTTGGGAAGTAACACTAGTGAGACAAAACGGTGAGGCTGTTAGGCCAAAGCGGACAGATATCGATGCTGAGGATTTGGGTTGTTATAAATGGTTTCAGAACATTACACTAAGCTGAAGATGGCAGCTAAGTGTCATTTAGTACAAAGTGCTACGTCATGGGAGCTGCATCTTGAATTCTAGATGAGACGATGCTTCATGTTGGGAGCCTCCTCTTGTATATAGAGGGGCTACCTCTAAATTTTATCTGTCTGGTGGGTGATTTTGGGTTATGAAAATTGACGATGACGTCGTTTACTTAAATGAGTGAGAACCCCTCAAGTTTAATGAAGTTGAACTCTTAAACATCCAGTCTTCTATTTGCGTAAGAGTTGGAATTCATCAGAAACTTCAATGTTAAACGTGCCACGCGGGAGCACTCTCAGGATGGGTGACATCCAGAGAATTTACACTAGTGGGATAAAACCATGAGACCATCAAGCTAAAACAAACTATATCTTGATGGATTAGAGTTCGGACTATTACAATTATAGTGGCTTTTTTTTTTCAGAAAATTTCAGTTTGTCATTTATGAATAGTCTTTAAAACACTAAATCGGATTTCCCCGTTATTGCGATCCATTGCTGCAGTTTGATGGCCCAATGTGCAGATTAGATTTTCACTGTTGTCTTAAAGAATGGGCTCAGAACATAACTGTTTGAATTTTCTCAAATTTTCTTGCAGGCATCTATCACCACCGGGTTTCTCTAATTTGCTGGATTCAATTCATGGCATTTTCCATCGTTCATTTTCCATCAAATTTTCTTATACAGCGCCGCACCTATGGTAATTCTTCTTGAAGATTCATGTGTTCTCTTTGTCTTTCTGCCTTTAACTTGACCATGATTTAACGCTAGGTGTATTTCTCTTTGATCCCTTTTTACTATGATTTAACTAGTTTTTTAACTTATTATAGTATTACACAATGAATGAGATTTGATTGATTAAATTATCGTGCATAGTAGAAGCTCAATAACCAAACATTTCAATTGTTTGAACCAATGTGTAACCCACTAATTTAAAACCAAACCATCCAAAATACTGGTTCGGCTTAATTGCTCGAATATAACAAAATAGGGAAATTTACATACTTGCCACAAAATTCTTATGTATTTACGTATCTAACACTCAAGGTAGCTTTGGTGTCATTAACCTATGCTTGAAAATTTGTATTTACTTTTAGAAAGATGGTAATTATGGAACTTTTGATTTGTTGTTGAATATTTGAGTGGTAAGCATGTATATGTTTATAAGAATGTTTAGATGTTAAATATTTATATTCATAAAAAGTGTCTGGTATGTATGTAAATGCCCCAACAAAACAAATACACCCCTCTAATTATATCTATACTTTAATATATTTGTTCAATTAACTCAGGTTACCCCAGAAGGCAATTCAATCTACTTCCAAGAACAATGCCTTGTGCCAATAAAATCAGAGCAAAAACAACATGTCAGTTCTCCACAATCTCACCTCCACAACAAAACTCACAAAGTGCTTGCCCCATTGTCAAAATGTGCGGCATTACTTCTGCTAAGGATGCAGAACTTGCTGCTCAGTCAGGAGCATCACTAATCGGTATGATCCTCTGGCCAAAATCAAAACGTTCTGTTTCAGCATCAGTTGCGAAAGAAATCGCAGCCGCTGCACGACGCAACGGAGCGGAACCTGTCGGAGTATTTGTCGACGATGATTTGGACACCATGCTACGAGCTTCTGAGGCCGCTAATCTTGAGCTTTTGCAAGTAATGAGCACCTGTAATAGTATGGATTTCATTTCATGTTTGTCTAGATCTCATCCTGTGGTTTATAATATTTGGGGTATTTACATGCATATCACACAATTTGATGTATTTGCATATCTACCGCCTAAAGTTTCATATTTACATTTATGACAGTCAAGACTACAATATCACATAAAAAAATACCGCCATTATTAACTTTTATGACAGTCAAGACTTCAATATCACATAAAAAAATACCGCCATTATTAACTTTTTTTTAAGTGAAATACACGCATAGATTTACGATACCAAAGTGCTATAAATGTCAATATTAAAAATTAGGTGTAAGATATGTATATACATAAGAATTGTGGGGTATGTATGTAAATTTCTAATACCATTTTTCATCTGTGTCAATGCAGCTTCATGGAGATGGTTCCCGTGCTGCACTGAAGCAGCTGCTGAGAACAAAGAGGGTTATATATGTTCTCCATGCTGATGAAGATGGATTGCTTCTCAATAATGTTAGTGTTGCAGATTCTGACTTGATAGATTGGGTTTTGGTCGACAGTGCAAAAGGCGGCAGGTCAGATTACAATTTGCTTGCACAATATTAGTAATAGGATTTGTTAGAGGTGTAGAAAAGGATTTAAGGGTCGGGTTCAAGTCTAACGTAAAAATGTAGACTCCAACCCAATCCAAATATTACACGGGTAAAAATTTTTAACTCACCCCCAACCCGCATTCAAGCCGTTGATCCAAACCTGACCCAGATAACATAAGGCATAATAACTATTCGGGTCAAATTCTGGTCGATTTTGAATCAATCTCGAGTCAATTCAATTCCAGGTTAGCGGGTTAATTTCAGGTTGGCGGTTCAACCCAAATCCGACCCAAAAATTATTAACGGGTTATGATTCCTAACCCGAACCGGATCCGAAAATTATTTGGATCAATTAGAACCCAAACTTTTTAAGTTGAGTTCAGGACGAGTTGGCGTGTCTGATCAAAATTTGACACCCCTAGGATTTGTTTGAAGCAACTTTGTTACTATTTTATTTTTCTGATCTCTGCTACATTTGTTTGGTTATTTGCTATTTTGTTGCTTTTTAAAAATTTATGTGGTAAGAAGTTGCTTTTGACATGCCGCTCAAATGGTTGTCATCACATCAAAAATATCACCATCACTATATTTTTTAAAAGTGAAATAAACATTTTCATGCTTAGGTTTGTGAAACCAAAATATTATAGTTGTAAATATCGGACTTTAGTTGTTAGATATGTAAATACATAAGAATTATGTGGGTATATATGTAAATTTCCTTTAAAAATGTTAACTGTTTGGTTTCAATCAACCCAAAACCAAACCAAAGCAAAATTCTTTCCAAGTATTTGTACCATTTTTGAGTGCTTATAGTTTCTTCTTACACTTTCAGTGGCAGAGGATTTAATTGGCAGAAATTTAAGGTTCCATCAAGAAGCAGTCGATGTAGATGGCTGTTAGCTGGAGGTCTCCATCCTGATAATGTTTGTGAAGCCATAGTTACCTTAAGACCAGATGGAGTTGATGTCAGTAGTGGCATCTGTGATGCCAATGGGATTCTGAAGGATCCTTTGAGAATATCTTCCTTTATGTGCAAAGTTAATTCAATAGCTTTTGCATGATCAATGGAGCATCACCGATGATTGGCGGGCATATCGAGAATGAGATTGAGACGGCTACGTTCGGCGAGGGATCTCAAGGGACATAATTTTTATGTTTGGATGTAAAGGGAGAAAAAAGTAGGAAAATAAAAGAATATTTATGTTTTTTTTTATTACTTGATTGATGGTTCTATTGATAAAATTACATTTGTGATATATATTTGTGTTTGTGTGTGTGTTGTGCACCGTGACTATTTAGTTGACAACCGCGTTGTTAATTTTGAGTCACATGGGGTCACGGATTCGAGCTCGCTTGAGTGCATCTGCCTTGCAGTACGTGATTAAGTGGTTAGGCACATATACACACAAGACCTCTAAGTCTAAATAAACTCTTTCAAACTTCTCTTTTTTTTGTTTTTCTTTTCTTTTTTTCTTTGCTTATATTAATAGGCAGAAATGTGGGGAACAAGAATTAAATGAGGAGAAAGGTAATCTCATAATTTGCATGAAGGTTTTGGATTAGAGTTGAAATCACACAAATAATTGACAGTCTATTTAATTCAATGGTTAGGAAATTATTAAGAAATAGCATATTGATGTTGACAACATACTTGTAAAAAATATTCATTCAATCATCAACATCTCTAGAAAGTTCAATCATGTTGAGCGAGACACGCGGTCAACCAACTTTGATTTTTTTTTTTTTTTAATGTATGCTTTAGAACCATTTAGACCTGCAATGCTACGGTCAACCAACTTTGTTTTTTTTTTTTTTTTTTAAATGTATGCTTTAGAACCATTTAGACCTGCAATGCTTTAAAGCGTTCATTGTTGACCTTTAAAAGAGAAGCATAAAACTTAAGTGTTATCAAGATGAGAATGATTGGGTGGATGAGTGGCTTTATACTTAGAGACAAAATGCAAAATGAATATATTCATGATAGGATTGGTGTAGCTCCAGTGACAGACAAAAATAGAGTCGTCTCACTTTAAAAATCGACCATCTTATGAATCGATTAGAATAGTAAATGTTTTAGATTCGACTTATTTTAAGAAAAACAGAGGTAGATTTAGGAAGACTTGAGCATATTTTATTAAAAAAATTGATTTTAATTTATTAGAATTAAATGAAAATGACACTAAATGGGACGTAGTGGAGAAAAAAAATTCATGTAGCCGACCACACTTAATGGGATAAAGGTTTTGTTTTGTTGTTTTACTTCTATTGCCATCATATCCCTCACAATGCAATCATCAATAAGAAAACCTTTGGACAAAATATTATGTAATTCATATGTTGCCTTACACAAGCCAAACAAGTATAAAAAGAAACTTAACTTATAATAAAACTCAATAAATGATTAAAACATCAACCATTTTTGTGATGACAAATGACCTACACCCAAAAGAGAGGTGATTTGAATGCTTTTTAAAATTTGATTTACTTACAATTTTAATTTAATTGAAAATTTTAACTTTATTTAAATCTTATTGACTTGAAAAATTACGACAGAATATTTTTTTATGAAAGAAATATAACCACACGAGTCAGAAAAAAAGAGCACGCGTAAAAGTTTTTTACGTGATTCGGCTCAATTACAACCCACATCCAAGCATAGCCAACCCATGGGCTAATGAATCAAAAGAAAAATACATTTACTTAACAAACATATTGAATGAATCAAACCAAACACTTCTCTCCACCATGATTACTTGCAAAGATTTACCAAAGAATCACCAAAATAAACTTGAAAATATCTAAAAGTAAAAAAAATGAATTTCTAGAATTTAGGCTGAATTAAAATTATATAAATCTGCTTTAGGATAATATGGAAATATTAAATGAAAAAAAAAAACTTAGAATTTAAATTAAGGTGAATTCTTTTAATGTAATTAAGCAAGATTGGAGAGAATTTTTTAAAATAAAAATAATTCAAAACAAAAATAAAGTTTCGGCCAACACAAAATGGATAGAACTATCATTATTTAATTAATTTAAGTAGATTGCAATATATTTAAAACATCCAAAGTTATTTAAATAAATGACATAATTAAGAGCTTATTAGAATTTAAAGCAAATCAATTATGTAGCCAACACTAATTTTGGCAAGTTTTGCATGAATTAATTTAATAAAAGATTTTTAATTGATATAGTTGATGAATTAATCATCTGCAGAGGTAGACCTAGGAAGACTTGGGCTTATTGTATTAAAAATGATCTTAATTTACTAGAACTAAATGAAAATATGACACTAAATAGGACGTAATGGAGAAAAAGGATTCATGTAGCCAACCCCACGTAGTGGGATTAAGGCTTTGTTGTTGTTGTTGTTGTTGTTGTTGTGATGTGTTGGATGAATTAAAAGTTGTTAAAAGTTGGCTTGAATATTGAATAAATAAAAAAAATAGCAACAATTTAGCAAATAAATTCGGTCAGGATGGATTAAAGAAGGTTTTAATGCAATGTGATTAATTATCTAAGAAAGTAATGTCATTAGTAATCATCCATATATAAAAATAATAGGTCAATAATTCAATTAAGGAATAATAAATTACTCATAAAAATAAGTTAATTCATATTTATAACTATTAAAAATTTACTACATAATTTATCAAGAAATTTTCATGAAATTATAAGAGATTTTATTGAATTAATTTAAGTCAAAATTTCAGATAAAAAATATTGCATTAGTTGAAACAATTTTGTAGGTGAAATATTTCAATTAAGCTTCTTAAATATGTAATATAATTTTGACTTTAAAAGAAATCATAAAATAATAAATTATCTATATAATAAAAATTATTTTTTAATAAAAATAAAAAAAATAATTATTTGATTATATAAACTTCTTAAATTATTTTAATCAAATATATGTTAGACACCCAATGGGGGTTCTAGAACAGACTAAACCTAAATTATATTCCCAAGCTTGACTTTATGATTTGTCATAATATTTTATTTAAATCTTACCATGCTCTCAGTTTATTTTTTACATAGACCTTTTCAATTGTCTCATTTAACAATTTAATACTCAATTGTCTCCTAAATTCGGAAAATATTTGCGTACATAAGACGTACGCAACACTGCATATTTTCAGGAGTTATTTAGGGGGTACAGGGGGGTTATATCGGGATTATGCCTCTCTATAAAACCTCTGTAATCTCTTCGTAAACTATCTGTAACCTACAAATGAGTTCCGGGCTTCTGTAGTTTCATGGGTACAAATAAGTTACACTGAGGTTACAAGGGAGTTACACGGAGATTATAGGGGGTATAACCCAGATATAACCCCCATGTACCCCTGAATAACCCCTGACGTAGGCAGGGCTGCGTACGTCTTATGTACGCAAATATTTTTCCCTATATTCTATCAATGTTCTGAATTTTCTAACATATAATGTATCATAAGTAACCAATGATAATAAATGATAGTGTAAATAAATTCTTAGATGTCTAGATAACTCTCTTAAACTACTAGTTTATTTATTGGTGAAATATTATATTGAACTTTAATTTGGTGCATAATCCTTCATTTATACCTCTAAATAGCCTAGGAAACAAGCCAATCATTATAATTACATACAATCAACTTGGGCACTACATTTAATCTCACAATCTCTTTCATATATAATTGATATAATTTGTATAATAAATATATATTTAACAAACAAAAAATATGCAAACTTCATCTATAGATCTACAATGTCTCATATATATGATTTATGCAGCATCTCCATCTAATAAATCTCAACATGATACTTTGGAATGGGAAATAACTGTGTTAGATAGCTAGTTTGTTAATGTTACTCTCTTATCATTTGACATAATTCACATTTAGAGGAAGTAAGCTACATCATTTTTTTTTTTTCAAATTCTAGCCACCAAAATATCAATTGCTCCAAGGATACATAGTATAGTTTGTATAATAAGCTTCAAGCAAAATCTAAATCCTTATTATCAACAACTATAAGCCCAAAAATAACCTATGCAGGTTAGTACTCCATGATTATTAGCTTTCACTTTTGTTTTCTCTCTAACTTAGGGTCCGTTCGGGGCAGCTTATAACCGCCGTACCGTTTGGTTCGCGCGTTTCGCCAGCTTATCCGAAACTGCGTTTGGGTTTTTACACTAAACGCAGGCCGCGCTTATCCTGAAACGCACAAGCTGCCCCAAACGAACCCTAATCAATCAACTTCATGTATCCTCAGAATCTTTCATGTCTCTTTGATCTTCTCTTATAATGTAGATAAAATAAAACATTTGAGCCAATAGTCTTATATTCATAGCAGTTGCAATACCATAGTCCAATTTCATTATCATCAAAATTAATCTGTAGTAATTATCCACTGTTTCATTCTTGGTGAACAACCTAGACAACGCATTATCTTCTTTGCCTTATGATCAACTTCTTTTAAGTGAATATATACTTAAATCTAATAATCAATTAAATCTCACATCTCATATTCATCAATTTGAGAATATAACAAGATAACATCTATAAATATAATTACAAATTAATCCAAATATGACAAATACCCCATTTATCAAATCATTTTATATAATTTTGATGCAATCATTACCTCAAATGTCATCTCCTTCATAATAAATATAGTCTTTAACAAATCCTCATCTTTTACCTTCAATTGATAATGAACATATCTTAAGTCAATATTAATATATGGATACTTATTTTTAATTATGACATAATTCAACAACTCTAATCAATACACATGTGCACTCATATCAATTTTATATTTCACAGATAATATAATGGTTCCCTAAGAGAATACACTATATCCAATAAATTCATTCTTTATCAACCAGCTCATGAAACTGAGTCATTCTCCTATAATTCCTTAGGATTTGTTCTATAGGACCTTGCAATTATATGTTTCATACCATGTACCATAAAAGCAATTTCAAAATCAAAAGGTAAGTTCACCAACTCACTAGAAAATAAATTAGTAAACTTGTTCTTTATAAAGACTTTGTCTACACTACCTTACTCCCATATCTCATTTATATGAAAAATCATATTCCTAAGTGTCTCCAAGCCATCTACAATACACACTAGAACACTATTACTGAAAAAAAATATGACCCTTTATAGACTCTCCAGGTCCAAACCTAAATTTCTTTCTATTGTAACTATTTTTGGACTGTTCTCCATTAATCCTGTCATTACTAATACCTCATCTATAATGTACAATCAAAATGTCATTCTAAATAAGACTTCATCATTCTACTAGTTCAATAAAACCTTTAATTTCGAAGGATCGTCATTGAATCCTTGCAAAAAAAGTTTGGGACTTCTCCGTAGGAAGCTAACCAATTAGGGTGTTTTCTTCACCAAAATTGTAAATTCAACTTCATACTGCATAATTGATCTTTCGCCTTGCAGAGTTTCACAAGATGCAAGCATCTAGTTTTGCAAAATCTATACAAGCTTCATTAACATCATTGCATTGTACATTCACAGGAATTAATTACACTAGCCATGGCTTCTTAAAGTTTACGGCAGTTACATACATGCACCACACAATTCTTATGTATTTACATATCTAACAGCTAAAATTTGCATTTTACATTTCTATCATCTAATTCTTTCATACTACATCAGAAGCATCACTATTTTAACTTTTAAAAAGTGACATACACATTTTCATGCATAAGTAAGATGGCATATACGTAAAAGTTGAAGTTCAGGAGTTAGATATGTAAATAATGGCATATATGTAAAAGTTGAAGTTCAGGAGTTAGATATGTAAATGCATAAGAATTAAGTGTTATATATGTAAATCTTCCCCTGTTCCTAGAGTTTAGATCATCAAAAGCTAAAAAAATTTATAATTACAAAAGATTTATCTATCTATGGGTATGAAAAGCATACCACACTGCAGTTTCTGATTGCATAAATAATTTAGGAATAAGCATACAATAATCCATGAAGCAAAATCCTTTAAAAAAGAAAAATACAGTGACACCTGCAACAGGCATCACACAAATCAAACAAACATAGAAATGAAATTGATTCATAAAAAAAAAATATCTTGTATCAAAAACCCAAAACACACTACTTTTCTCATTCAAATTGTGTTGTATTGATCAAGAATTCCATAGTGAATCAATTTTGAGAGAGCTATCTCAAAAATAATCTAGCTCTATCAATGGAACAGTATATCGCTCAATTGAAAAATAAATTGAATGTAAAGAAGAATCACATCTCATATTTCTATTTGTCATTTCACAAATTAAAACCTATAATCCTTAGTTTGGAGATGAAATGCCGAGTTTATTTTTGCAATGGTATGCGTTATGGCCTAAAAAAACTTTCAAAATTGTTTCTTTTATTTACAAATCATGAGGATCATCATCTTTGAAAATCTATCAACCACAATGAGAACGTTTCGTTCTCATGGAGTCCATGAATGGAACTTTTAAGAAAATTCATAAAGAGAATTTCCTACCACCAAGCCAGAACCGGCAATAGTGCACAAATTTTTTCCAGTTTGAGGATTTCACATACCATTTCATAAATTCAACCCATCAATGTACAACACAATGCACATAATTTAAATCACATGAAGATTAACTTACTCTAAGGCAATTTTCATTCGAATTCATGAAACTCATTAACATTTTCTATAAGATTTAATAAATACATTAAAATCACAGTTAAATAATGATTAAAAACCTTAATACATATTGCTAACGAAGTAATAAAAAAAATCAACTATGTACAGGATTCTCTCTGAATTGCTAATGTAGAAGTAAACAACAAAACTATATGATAGACCTAAAAAGTACAAAAATGGACTACGTATTGACTCACACAACAGAACAATCAATCAACAAGCAGATTTCAATAACAATCTTCCATGGCACAAAATTACAAACTATAACTTGGATATTTACAGAAGCATTTTTTATTTACCGCACAAAACAGAACACCTTTTATTTCCAGCAAAAATTGGCTACTTTAGCTCCGCGAAAAATGAATATGGAACAATGTGAAGTAGAAACTTACTCTTCCAAGATGCCAAACTGATCTTTTTCTTCATGGCATTGTCTGATAACTTCTTCGAGCTCTGGAAAAGCTGATAGTAGTAGCAGCTCTAAGAGCTCTACTGTTAGCTGCTTCAAGCACACAACAGACTGCAATATAATAAGAAGTTGGGAATAATGTGATGAGCATAAGATAGTTAATTTTACTAGAGAGAAATATTAGGTAAGGATATTCTGATCAAATTTTGATTTTTAATGCTCATCAAGGTGAGTATATAGCCAATCAAATCATACATTTCACTTATCTCAAAACAAATTTAAAGATTTTAAAACTCGTCCTGACCGAAGCAAGATCAGGATATCCTCGCCCAATTTTTTTTCCTTTTCCTACTACTGATATTTTAATCTAATATCGTAGGAGAGAGATAGGATCCTAACTGAAATTTTGGTTAGAATGAGCTTTAAAAGCTTTGAATTAGCTTTGAGATCAATGCAATACATGAATAATCAACCAACATTTGCTTGCACACATTTCCAAGCAAATACAATACTTTTAAAGTACAAATTTACCCAATTTTTCTTAAAAATTTATCTTATCAGTGATTATAAACTCAATTTTTTATGAAAAAGGAAAAACACCTGTAGAAAGAAGTATATATCTTGAGCGCAATGTTCGTACTCTTTTCTTCCCACAAGACCTACGAGAGGAGCTGGTGCCTTATCTGCAAAAATATAATTAGACTAAAAATCAGGCAAAAGTAAAATTAGAAAAAAACCAGCAAGCAAAATAACAATTAGATCTGCAGAAATTGTAAGATCGACCCAGAAACATGTTCAATTCATAAAATTAAATGCTGATTTTGAAGGAAACTTTTAGTGGGTCAAATAAGCGAAGACGGAGGATATCCATTTTCATATCTGGGATAAGGCTAATGAAAAATTAGATTAAGTTTAATCTTATGCACACATGATGCCTTAGAAATATAAACACGCAAATACCCCCAAACCATCATCGCCATCACAGTCACTAGCCGCCTCTAAAAATGTGATACAGTCGGTTATCAGTGATCTCATTCAGAATAGCTTTCTTACAATGCAACTTTATCCTACATATTTTTGGTCTTACACCTCTGAAGTCCGTGTCTGAAGCAGCTCTTTTTTATTTTGACTTCTTAGTTGGACGTTCATGAAATTTGAAAGATACAAATAAAAATTGAAGTTTAGGTGTTAGATATGTAAATACATAAGAATTAAGTGGTATGTATGTAAATCTTCCTTTCGTAAAACAACCTTTTCTCAGGAGAAGTACTGCAACATTCTAGAAAATTCATGGTGATCAATGGCCTAATAGTTTACATTTTCTAACTTTATGGAAAAATGGTTTCTGCTGGCCATTTATAAACTGATATGTTTTGCATGTGCATGAACAAGTATGATTTTCTCCCTCTTGCGGGCATAGTTGCTCATTCCAAATAAAAGAATTTTACTCAATATAATTTTGATGTTCACAAACATATAAAGGAATAAAGAATATTTGCATGCAATATGGCAAGGATCAGCCTCACCTATTATTAACTCATAAACAAATTTCGCACGACGCGCATCTTCCAGTTGTTGATCACTCACCGGAGAGTTATGTCTGCTGCTTATATTACCCGGAGAAGAAACTGGCGTAGGAGGTTTACGGTTCGGATGCTTAGTAATGAAGATTCCATCAGGCCATAGTATCTGATTCAAAGCATAAAATTTCTAAGCATTTCAAGCAATCTCTGCAAGTCAGAAATTTTATACATTTCAAAGATAGAACATGAAAATTTAGATCTAACAGAAATCTAATGTTCTGATTACAAGTATTGAGAGAATAATTGATGGCAAGCTCTGAAAATAAAACAGATTGGTATTTAACTTTGGCTAACCATGAGTTTTAAATAGGATAATAAAAATGAGAGAAGGACAAAAATGGTTTTCCAACTATTTGTGAAGGGTCGCTTTAGTCCCAATGTATATATAATGTTTAAATTAGTCCATGAACTCTTAAAATAAGAGTCAAAATAATACCGCCATTAAAAGTAATAAGACTGAAATTAAAGTTCAAGGATAGTGTTAAAAATAAGAATATTAGCCATTTAAATCTTCAAATTTTTACAAAACTAAGAAAATCAATTTTTTTTTTAAGTTTGAGATATTTTGTAGGAAATTGAAGGTTGAGATATTTCACGGGAAAGTTAACAATAATAATTACAAAAATTCATAAATTTAATAAGAAAATTTACATATGTAGCACAGAATTCTTATGTATTAATATATCTAACACCTAAATTTTCATATTTAAATTTATAACACTTTAGTGTCATAATCACATTAAAACCTATGCATGAAAATGTATATTTCACTTTAAATGAGTTAATATTAATTTATTTTAGATTTGATTTTAATTATTTGAGTGGTGCATGCATAAACATCAAAATTTAGTTGTTGGATACACACACACACACAAAATAATTGTGTGGTACATATGTAAATTTTCCGATTTATTATGCATTAATTTCATTACAGAGCATCTATAAATGAAGAAACATTAACAATTTCACCAATAGATTATATCCCCAAAAAAGATAGGTAAAAAATTAGATCTTGTAAATTTTTTAAAATGATCTAAATTACTAAACTACCATTATTTTTAACACCAATTGTTAACTTTGACTTAGATTTTTCATTACTCTCAATAGATGAATCATGTTGGCTCCTATTTTAAGAGTTTAGGGACTAAATCAAATATTTTATAAATGTTCCTTTTCTCTAACATAAATATATCACATACTTGCTCAATGCGCCTAATTGCATTAGCAACTACAGATCCTTTTCTCAATTGCTGGATTTTGTCAATAAGCCAATCGTCAAAGGCATCCCCCATTCCCAACTGCAGAAGTTGTTTTGCCACCCAAAATGCTTTACGCCTAAATGCAAATAAATGGAGTAATTATTTTCACAACATAATTAGAGAAGCTAAAAGAGCCAGATGAAATTTTTTAAATGGATTTCCAAAATATAATTACCTGATCCAGCCACCATCCTTAAGCTGAAAAATCACATCTATCAAATCCAATATTGGGACACTAAGATTTGGAGTCGTCCACTGTTGTACAAAAAGAATACGAAGTTAATTTTTAGAAGTTTTAAAAATCATCAGAACCTTTATCTTTCTTCTTTCATTGGGTTGTGAAAAATGTGATGGGGTGGAGAAGGATGAGATGAAACTAGATACTAGTCATGAAATAGGAATAGATCCATCAGAACCACTAATTATAAATTATTTGATGAAATATGTTTTATACAAAAGTCTATAAGCACACATTATTAAGAAAGATTATCCACATAATAAAAAATATTAAAGCAAATGCATGAAAATAACTTGGTCGATAAATGATTCTAAGTTGTGCAAGAAGTGATATTAAATTAAAATACAATTAAATCGCAAGCAATTGGCAAAAAAATGAAAGAACAATATGTTTTCTCTTCAGGGCTGATAATTAACCGGCTTCTAATATTTATGCCATAAAAATTGGCACAAAAGTGTAGGATACCTCTGTCTCTTTCCAAGCAAATATGTATATATATATATATAGACAAGCGCGCGCGCGCACACACACATATATACATAAAGCAGAAGAAATGAACAGAAACTTTTTAAAAAATTTTCCCCCTCTAAAATGAATGTCAATACGAACCCCGCAAAAACAAAAACAAAAATCAAAAGCATTATGAAAATGTTAACGGTGCTCTATACATCTAGACCCCGTAAAGTTGCATGTTAAAATCACCAAAACATGTGATGCTTTAACCACAGAAGTACTAAAATTTTACTAGATAAAGCTGGAGAAATGAAGAAAAACTTTTTGAAATTATGCCACCTTTAAAATGAATCTCAATAAATGCCCGCAAAAACAAAAACAAAAATTCTAAAGCATTATGAATATTTTAACAGTGCTCAAATCATCTAGCACTGTATAATTGCATGTTAAGATCACATAAACATGTGTAGTTTTAACCAAAAAAGTACAAAAATATTATCATATATTATCATGTGAAAGAAATGTCAATAAAACCCCCGCAAAAACAAAAATAAAATTCTAAAGCATTATGAAAATGCTAACGGCACTCTATTCATCTAGCCCTTGTATAGTTGCATTTTTAGATCGCCAAAACATGTGTAGCTTTAACCACAAAAGCACAAAAATCCTACATATAAAGCCGGAGAAATTAAGAGGATTTTTTTTTTTTGAATTCTTCTCCCCTCTAAAATAAATGTCAACAAAACAGCCGCAAAAAAGGAAAAAAAAAATCTAAAGCATTATGAAGATGCTAACAGTGCTCTATTCATCTAGCCCCTATATAGATGCATATTAAGGTCACCAAAACATGTGTTGCTTAAACTTTTCACGGATAGCAAGAGCTTATCGCATTTTCCTTTTAAGAGTTATTGATGGTAAATCAAATTATCGATAAGTTCTTACATTGTAAGCTCCACATGTTTTAGGAAAGTTTTAAGAGATCAGATATTCATGTTATCCTATAGATAATAAGCAACCAAAAATTATGGGCTTAGGCTTTACAATCCAGTTGGAGACCCAATTCATCGACAACACAGGGAATCAATTTTTTTTTAGGACATCAGTTAATTATGTGAAGTCATATGAATTTATTTAAAAGAAACTAAGGGGTAGATTTACATAGTAGCACATTAGCACAGACAAAATTGATATGAAAGGGCCAATTTTCTCTTCAAAATACAGAAAAATTTTTTTATTTGAAAAAAACCAAGTATGATTTTAAAATATAAATGAGAAAGTTTAGATTTATGTCAATCTTCAAGATGAGCTTTAAGGTAGTCGATGTCCTAGGTGCTTACATAGTTTGTTAAATAGATTTATGTCAATCTTCAAGATGAGCTTTAAGGTAGACGATGTCCTAGGTGCTTATATAGTTTGTTAAATAAACCATGCTTATGAAAGGTTTGAGAGATTTAACCCTGTATATTTTTTCTTGTCTCATACAGCTCGTTATTATAATTAGAAAAAAATTTTAAATAAATACAAGGACGCTCATAATTTCTTATTATCTTTGAGAAACTATTTAAGGGTATTAAGCCTAATTTATTACTTGCCTTCAATATTTTCATCCCACTAAAGCACAATTCTCACCTACCTTTTTCTTACCTACAATTTCAACACCAACATTTCAATAGAAAAATAAGAGCCTTCTCATTCAATAATAAAATAGCATTCCTACTTTCAAAATAACTTTCGTCAAAATCAAACTTTCTAATTATTTTTCTCTCCCAAAGCATTCAAGTTAAGAATGATAGTAACTACAACAAATTGGGAGGAGACAGCTACTAATGACTATAAGACTAAAAGGATGGTTTAGGTTCCTTAACAAAAATTTGAACTTCACAGATCATGCGACTTCATGAAATTAAAGGAAAGAAACATTTGATGCTTGGAGAACCTGAATTCTCCCATTTTTAAAATTGAAATACACTTTTTCATGCATTGGTTTCTAATAACAAGGTGTTATAAATGTAAATATCAAACATTAGTTGTTAGAAATGTAAATACATAAGACTAGTGTGGTATGTATGTAAATTTTCCTTTTATTTTAACCCATTTAAGTTCATATACATTTAAATCTTGGAAATGCCATCTTTGCATTTAGTATTAGAGATCCTTTAGAAGACTCCAAAGGGCCCCTACATCAGGAATATGCAGGACTCGAAGATAATTTAACTAGAAGCTATTTGATTACAGAAAATATGCCTCCACAGATACTCAGGATTTCTATTTCCTTTATTCTCTCCAAAATATTATTAATCATAATTTACAGCCGCTTTCAGATCAGATGATTAAGAAACCTTCATGAATCGGTTTTGAATTTAAAGCGGTGTTTGGAGTGGTAATCCACACACAAGAAACAAAAAAGACCCAAATATTGAACACTTATGATGAACAAAAAGATCATAAATATATGGAAATATTACACCAAAAACTACTGCTCTATAAAAATTAGAGTTAAGTGTCAAAATAGTCCCCTGACTCTTTACATTGGGTTATTTTAGTCCAAGAGTCCATAAAAGTGTCAATTTAGTCCCCAAATATTTTTAATAAGACTGAAATAGTCCCCAAAGAGGACTATTTTAGCCCCCATTAAAAGACTCTAAGAACTGAATTGACACTTCTATAAACTCTTGGACTAGTATGACCCCCTACAAAGAGTACGGAGACCATTTCAACTCATTTCTCAAAAAAATTTGGAAAGACTTACTTCGGTAGGAAGGGTTAGATCTCCAAAAGCTTCAGGAATTTGAGAAGCCTGAGGCAGGTCACTATTGCCACCCGAAGTACTTTTGTGCTCATCATTTTCAATCTTGCTTCGACACGAAATTCTTTGAGCCATATTATCTGTGTCACCCCCTGAATTACCATGAGATAAAATATTACCTTCATTACCAACATTCACTCCAATATGTTCCTGGATTTTTCTCTTTCTCATTCCAACATTTTCTGATTCTGTATGTTTTTTGTATAAAGCATTTGTGCCATTTACACTGCTCAGCTGTTCAGTCCGAGATGGTAACTGAGAGTTCGCAACTTCAGTCGAATTGTGGAGCTTAGCACTCTTCTCAGGTGGCTTATAGTCAAGGTCAGCTATATTGCATAAAGGGACAGGAAAATGAATTTACATTCAATGGGAGTGTATCAATAGTTATACATAAGAACTTGGTACAGCAATGGAAAATTATACAAATGATTTACCCGACAATGTTTGCATGATAGAGAGAGAATTAGAGAAAATGTAGGTCTGCAGCAAAATACATAAATTGAAAAGTAAATAAACGGAAATTATACATGTCAAATATGTCTTCAGACAAAAACAAAAAAGATAAGGGGCGTAAAAAGTGAAGGGCAATTAAGAGAGCAATACACAAACCTGTGAATCAACGCTAAGAAAATCCCAAACTTCTATAGATCCTGATATGTTGGGAAGCTCAAGAAGCCTCTGAAACATAGAACTTGCAGTTTAGAAAGATAATACAGATTAATCTAGCACATAAAATCAGCTAAAATATTACTATTTTATTTGTGCCACATAAAGAGCAAATGTCTTCCACCATTAACAAAACAATACGCTGATGTTACATTAATATTAGTAGTAAACTGCATCATCGTCATTAAACTCATTCCAACTATTTGGGGCCAGTTTTATAAATCCTTCTTCACCATGTATTCCCATACAACTAAATATAAACTTGCGTCACTTTATTCATGCTAGCATAAAGACTAGAAATTTCTTTAGAACCTAACCAGTAGCTTCTACAAGTCTCAGAAGGTTATAGATGTCCCTAATATAGTGCAATTCCATCTCAATTCTCAGTTTCAAGCTCTTATTTGACTTTTTTGTGGTTAGGCTTCGTTTGGAAATGTTTTTGGGCTCCATTGCGTTGGAGAAAAAGGCCATAAAATGTAATGCAGTCTTTTGGATATACAATTTATCCAAAAGTCCTTTCAATGCAACCGCATTTTTCTCCGTTTTGAGATCGTGAATGCTGTGCTCCGTTTTGCTATAGTTGGCTGGGTTCCCCTGTTTCTATTACGAAAGGTCAAAATTAGCCTTCAAAATTTATCATTTTTCTCGCAACTTTTTCGGGAGACCTAGGATATGTTGTTGTGGGTCATTCCAATGCTTCTTTTTCTCTCATCGCCGCCGCTGCCGTCGCCTCCACAGACCTTGCCGGCGGGGCAGTTCTCAAGAAAGCAATAGTACTGGAGTCAGTAGTACAGAATAATTTTAGAAGTTTTGAGTTATTTTGTCTTTTATTTTTAAAAAAGCTGCACATGAAGTTTTGTATTCAAACAATATATTGACTTTAGAAAGACCTGCTTTATATTGTTGTTTCACCTGAAGTTCTGTTTAAATGAGTTTTTATGAAAGGTGAAGTGGTCCCAAACGAGGCCTTAATTATCGATAGCATAAATGAAATTAGTCATTTTGTAATACTACCACTACAACAACAAGCCTTATTTTGTACTAGTTTGGTAATTATATTATCTTTTTTTTAGTAAGATCTATTGATATAAATAGACCGAAAGTGTATAATTCAATTAGACTTAGTAGGATAAAGAATTTATTTTTTAAACAAAATTATACCGACAAGAAAATGATATGACTACACCAAGGGATTTGCCAAGAAATGTCATAGCAAAAAAAAAATACAGCAGTATAGAAAAAAAATAAAAATAGTTTATTTGGACCGACTATCTTGAAAAGTAGCAAAAATAAGTGAATAGTTAGATTTTCTTTTGATTTATGCCCATTCATTGAATTTAGGGTTTAGGGTGTCATTTTGTAAAACATTGAATTTTTTATTTATCAAAATGCCAGCACTTTCAATGCTCCAATCAGAAAAAAAAAATTGCAATGAAGGATAATTGTCATTTTATTCGCAAATGAGAGAGGGTGAGGCATTCCAAAACATGTGGAATATTCTTGATGATAATATAAATAGTTGATGAAGTGATCAAAACCGTTAACAGAGACAAGAACATCAGCCAGTTATTCCTAAAGTGAATCTAAACTTGGCTCCAACTTTTGGGAAGAGACCTAAGCATATGAGAGGGTCTCTTCCATCAAAGGGGTACAAGCATCAGTTTGAAGATATTACGATTGAAATTGAGGGTTCCGCAATTCACGATGAGCCATGAAACCTTAGAGAATTTAAGCTAAAAAGAATGCAAGAAGAGTACTATAATGGAACATTTTAAATTCAGCTTCTGCCAATATCCCAATGACAGAGGCCTAATCCACATCACTTTATAAAAAAAAAAAATTGTAGTTTCCAATTCCACAACAATAGCCATAGGAGTAGTAAAAAGAGTTGTCAAAACATTCACTAGTAAAAGTTTACCTAAAATAGAAATCGAGGAAAGTAAGTGACATGAGACGTCGTTCGCTAGGCACGGCAAAAGTCGCAATTGGGGTCACTGGACCGGTTCGGTCAGGCACAAGAGGGACTGACCAGTCCTTCCAAGCTTGGGTTCCCTCCCATTGGGAGTGGGGCCCACTCCTCTTTACCCTATGTATCTATATATATATATATATATTATTTGTTGTGTTTTGGGGCAATTTTTGCTTTTAAATTTCTGTCGAGACAGTCGTCGGCATCCCGTTTTCAGTCCTAAGATTGTATCGAAAGGCAAGAAGATATTTCGGCTGTAACTCGTCCCAATGTGGTAGTTTTCTATTGTTCCCCACAGGTTCCACTCCGATGTCGCCATCGCCATGGTCGCTGCCATCGCTCAGAAAAGAGTTTGTGTTGTTTCTTGCAGCCAGCCAGCCAGCCAGCCAGCCATGCCATCTCCACCTTATTGTCGACCTCTCCAGCCACCTAAACTATCTAATGTTGCCATCTCCACCTTGTTGTCGACCTCTCCAGCCACCTAAACTATCTAATGTCATCCCATTTCCAGCCACCTAAACTATCTAATGTCATCCCATTTCCAGCCACCTATAACCTACTGCAGCCCCTCCCAGCCACTTCCAACCTGCTGCCATTCTCTTCAAGTCCCTACAACTTATTGTCCCTTTTTCAGCCATCGACCACTTGTTGTCACCCTTCCAACCACTTTTGATCTCCTTTAGTTACTATTTCCCCTTAAACCACAACACCATCGTCATCACCATCCTAGTTGAGTCGTGTTGTGTCTTTGTTATTTCCTAGTTACAAGTGTTTTGATTTCCCTAGTGGGTTTTGGGTTAACTCCGGTATCATTTGGTATCAAAGCTAGTCTAATCTCAGTCTCATCCTAGGGTTTCTAGCATCTGTCATACCCAAACATATCTCCACCCCCTCCAAATTTTCTTTCCCCAACCTATACGCTTCATTCCACCTATCCGCACCTAAACCCTAACAATGTCGTCGAGAAGGCAATTGCCAAAAACTGAGCAGGATTCTACCACGGGTGACATACGAAAGTACTTCGCCAAATGCTACAACGGCTCTAGGTCATGCAAAAACGACCATGGTGGATGTCATCGACAGTAGTAGTGGGATCCATGGAAGAGACCCAAAAGAACAGTTGAACTCATTTCAAAATCAGAGAAGGCTGAGAGAGGAAGTGCATGCTGGGGAGCACAGAGATTTGGGAGTTAAGATGGACATACCGAATCTAGATGATTTTCTCGAATGGATGCGGATTGTTGAGCAGATTTTTGAAAACAAAGGCAAGCCTGATGACAGAAGAGTAAAACTCGTCGCCATCAAATAGAAGGAGAATGTCTTATTATGATGGGAGAACCTAAAAAGGGAAAAACTTAGAGAATCACAAGATAAGACTACTTCTTGAGAGAAGATGAAAAAATGCAATGCAGCAACAGTATCTATCCTCACACTATCGCCTGAATATTTTCATGAAACTCCACTACCTACAACAAAAGAAGTTATCGATGGAGGATACACAACAATAATTTATGCAGCTCAAATTAAAATGTGAACTAAAGGAGATAGAGAAGCACTCCATGGTTAGACATTGGGGAGGCCTAAGACCCATCATTAATGATGTGTTTCAACATCAAACCTATTGGAAACTGAAGGACATGCAAATATTGGCGGTAAAAGTGGAGAGACAGGAAAAAATAGCAGAGGTCTCTGCCTCCTTTTGGAGGTCCCAGCAGGAGCACGCCTAGAGAAATAGGAAAGATTGGACTGAGAAATGACAAAGCAAATCAGAGTGGGAAGAAGTTAGAGAAGAACAGCACACCCGGTACAATCCCAGTCCAGAAATGCTTCAAAAACCATGGATATGGGCATCTCGACGAGCAGCCTAGTGTTCTTCACCGAGCATGGTGCCATAAAGGAAGTTAGTGATGATGAAACGACTAAGCACCAAGGTGATCAGCTCCGAAGAGATGAAAGGAAGATGCTTACTGTAAGAAAATTTATGCAGTCGAAACCGTAAAGAAATCACTCATGGTTAAGGCATAGTATCTTCGCACCAGATGTATAATGAGAGAGAAAGTTTGCAGCCTCATAATTGACGGAGAAAGCTGTGAGAAGGTGGTATCCACTTTACGTTAAAGAAGTTGGATCTGGCAACACAGAAACACTCTCAGCCTTATTCTCTGATATGGTTGAAGAAAGGAAATGAGATACGAATGGATCAGCAATGCCTAGTAGAGTTTTCCATTAGAGACGAGATCAGGTGTGGTATGACGTGGTGCCCATAGGCGCTTATCACATCTTGTTGTGGAGGCTGTGTCATTTTGATTGCAAAACAAAGCATGATGGCTTCAAGAAATAGTACTCGTTCATGAAGGAAGGGAAGTGCATTTGAAGGAACAGATGCATCTGTAAGGGAGAAGCAAGATGACCCACGAGCTACTTTTCTGTAGTCAGTTCGAGATACTCTAGTGGCACTATCTTTGTCGTCTTAGAAGGAATTGAGGGGGATATGGACCCACCAAAGATGTTCAAACCACTCTTAGCCAAGTTTCAGGAGCTGATGACCAACAGCCTGTCAAAGGTCTACCGTCGCTTAAGAATATCCAGCATGCCATCGATCTTATCCAATGATCAATGTTGTTAAACAAGCATGTATACAGATTGAGGTCAACGGAGTACGAGGAGTTACAACAACAAGTGCAAGATCTCATCATCCGGGGATTGGTGAGAGAAAGCAACAGCCTGTGTACTGTCTTCGCATTGATGGTTCCCAAGAAGGACGGCTTGCGGAGAATGTGCATAGATAGTCGGGCTATAAACAAGATCACCATTAAATATCGGTTCCCCGTCTCTCGCCAGGGCGAACTACTGGATCAATAACATGGAATCATAGTATTTTTCAAGATTAGCATGCGCATTGGACATCATTAGATCAGAATGAGGTCGAGAGATGAATGAAAGACCGCTTTCAAGACCAGAGATGGGTTGTACGAGTGGAACATCATGTCATTTAGACTATTTAATGCACCTAACACATTCATAGAGCTGTTGAATCCGGTGTTATGGGTTTACATCGGGAATTTCGTGGTTATATATTTCGACATCCTTGTCTACGACTGTTCCGAGGAGAATTTGCCACATCTGAGGCGAATTTTTAAGATTTTGTGTTTGGAGAAACTATATGCACACCATAAGAAGTGTCATTGCATGACGGCTCAAATATGTTTTTTGGGTTATATTGTATCCAATTCAGACATTCAGATGGACCCTACAAAGATAGAGATGATCATGAGTTGAAGACCCCCAAGTATTTTACCGAGCTGAGGCAATTTTTGGGGTTAGCATCATGTTACATGTGGTTCATCACGAGCTTCAACATCATTACAACTCTGCTAACAGAGCTTTTGAAGGGAGAAAAGTTTCAATGAACAGGGGCAGCCCAGTCCAGTTTTCATGCTCTGAAAGAAAAGGTGACGTAGGCCCCATTGTAAGCCTTGCCAGATTTTAGTTAGTTGTTCGAGGTAGAGTGTGATAGAAAAGTACCCTTTGTTAGCCTCGCCAAATTTTACTAGAATTCAAGTTGGATAATTGAACTGGAATGCATTGGTCCTATTGTGTGATATAAAAGTATCGCTTAGACTTAAAGGAAACTTTTATAAGATGGTGGTGAGGCTTGCAATGTTTTATGGCGTCGAATGTTGGCCTATACAAGATAAGCATAAAACTAAGTTAAGTGTTGCTAAGATGAGAATGCTTAGATGGATAAGTGGCTTGACACTTGGAGACAAAATGCAAAACAAAAGTATCCGAGAAAAGGTTGGTGTAGCTCTAGTGGCAGATGAGATCCCAAGGGAATTGTTTTAGATGGTTTGGTCACATTAAACGTCGACCATCTTCTGATCCGGTTAAGAGAGCAGATGTTTTATATTCGACTTATGTTAAGAAAGGTAGAGGTAGACCTAAAACGACTTGGCATATTGTATTAAAATTAAGCTTAATTAATTAGAAATAAATGAAAATATGATACTTAATATGAAACAATGGAGAAAAAAGATTCATGTAGTTGACCACACTAAGTGGGAAAAAGGCTTGTTATTGTTGTTTGAGGTTGAGTGTGACGCCTCCAATGTGGAGATTGGAGCAATGTTGAGTCAGGGAGGACACCCTCTAGCCTTCTTCAATGAGAAGTTGATGAGTCCCATTGAAAGTACTTGGCCTACGAAAAGGAGTTCTAAGCCATTGTGAGAGATCTCCACCACTAAAGTCACTATTTGTTGAGGAGCGAGTTCAATTTATTCATAAATCATGAGACGTTAAGATTCTTAAATAGTCATAGCAAGCTGAAGAGTACACATATGTCTTAGGTTGAGTTTTTGACAACATTCCAGTTGTGCTTACGCACAAGGCGGAAAGTCAGAACCGGATGGTAGATGAATTGAGTCACTGTCATTTGTTGATCACTTCCATGTAGGCCAAAGTCATGGGATTTAAGGTGGTTAAAGAAGAGTACAAGACAGACGAGGATTTCAAGAAATTTAGGATAAGTGTAGGGAGAGGCCTACAAGACCGTACCACCGAACTGATGGTTATATATTCCACTGGAGCAAGTTGTGTCTACTCAAATGCTCATTAAGGGGGTACATACTTCAGGAGTCACGGTGGGGGACTAGCAGGTCACTTTGGTAGAGACAAAAACCTCGCACTGGTGAGGTGAGAGAACATTTCTTATGGCCCTGACAGATGAGAGGTGGAACGATACGTCAGGCAGTGCAGAGTTTGTCACTTGGCTAAAACCAAGGGACAAAATATGCGGTTGTATACCCCATTTACTAGTACCAGAGGCTCATTGGGTGGATGTCAACATGAACTTCATAGTAGGCCTTCAAGCAGTGCAGAGTTTTCACTTGGCTAAAACCAGGGGACAAAATATGTGATTGTATACCCCATTTAATAGTACCAGAGGCCATTGGGTGAATGTCGGCATGAACTTCATAGTAGGCCTTCCAATGATGTAATGGAACAAAAATTCGGTGATGGTCGTGGTTGACAAGTTCTCAAAGATGGCTCATTTTGTGTCGTGCCACCGAACACTAGATGCATCACATGAAGTTGATTTGTACTTCAAGGAGATTGAGAAACTGCATGAGATTCCTAGAACCATTACCTCTGACAGGGAAGGTCAAATTTCTGAGCCAATTTTGAAGAATTTGTGGTAAAAGCATGATATTATACTTCAATTCAGCTCAGTGGCCTGCCCACAAATATATAGTTAGACGGAAGTGGGACCTCCTCCTATCGCAGGCCAAATTTGCCTACAATAGGTCTGTGAGACGGACGACGCGATGTGCACACCTTTTCAGATTGCGTATAGAGGCAATCCACTCACTCCACTTGAGTTAGTATCAATTCTTTCCACGTTGGAGGTTAGTGTGAATGTTAGGCCGAGGGTATAGGAGATTCGGAGGATACATGAGGAGGTGAGAAAGGAGATCACCAAGCAGAACCATAAGTATCAGGCACAAGCTAATAAAACAAGGAAGAAGGTATGTTTCAAGAGGGAGATCTAGTGTGGATCAGGTTGAAGAAAGTGAGATTTCCATGAGGTTGTTCGGGAAACTTAAGCCCAAAGCAAACGGATCATTCAGAATCCTCAAGAAGTTGAATGACAACACCTACAAGATTGGTTTACTTGGGTATTACAATATCTCGGCTACCCTCAATGTAACGGATTTAACTCCATAATACAGAGACACAGAAGCTTCGATAGATAAGGTTGACGCTCCTCCAATCCTAGGAGACTGACAAGAGACGTCGTTTTCCAGGCACAACAAAAGTCACGATTGGCAACACTGGACCAGTTCAGTCCAGGCACAGAAAAGACCAACCGGTCCTTCCAAGCTTTGGGTTTCCTCCTAGTGGGAGTGAAACTAACTTGTCTTTACCCTAAGTCTGTATGTTTGACATTTGTTATATTTTAGGACAGTTTTTACTTTCAGATTTCTATTAGGATAGTTGTTGGCGTCCTGTTTCCCTCCTAGGATTGTATCTGAAGGCAAGAAGGCGTTTCAGCTGCAACTTATCCTGAGGTAGTGGTTTTCTATCGTTCTTTGCTTTCCCACAGCTTCCCATCACTGTTGCGGTTGTTTTCGTTGCTTGGAAACAAAGTCCCTACTATTTTTTTGCAACCAACCATCTCCCCTTCATTGTCATCCAAGCCAACCGTTTCCAACTTGATGCCGACCTCTCCAACCACCTACCTACCTGTTGCAACACATTTCCACCTCCAAACTAATACCGCCCCTCCCAACCACCCTAACCTACTATATTTCCCTTTCAAACCCTACAACTTATTGTCAATCCCCTTCAAGCCCCTATAACTTGTTGTCATCCCCCTTTCCAGCAAACTCCCACCTATTGCCACCCCCTTCCAGCCACGGACCACTAGTTACTATTTCCCCTTAAACTTCAGCACCGCCGTCGTCCTCCTCGTCCTCATAACTAATTGAGTCGTGTTGTGTCTTTGTTATTTCCTAATTTCAAGCGTCTCTAATTGGAACCTCTATTTTCTTTTGATTAATAATATTTTTTTCCCCATTGGGTTTGGGTTAACACTGATATCAATAAGTTAAGCTTGTTGAAATAGTGTTGGTGAAGACATGAAAATGAGATCCAAATTGAAGTGGAAATAGGCTCCATAGAGCAATCAAAATGGGGGCGACCATTTTTGCTTGTGCAATAGAAGGAAAGAGTTATTTTAATTGCCATTAGATATTTAGGACTTTTTTTTTAAGAATGTATTTCTTGTATCAATAAGAAGTATTCTTATAAAAAATGCCAAGTCTTATAATTCACTCATAATTCCAACGGATTTTTTTCCTTTGAGAGGATTCACTCACTACTAGGGTTTTCTCATGCTTCTGCTTTTCAATATCTTGCCTCTCTTCCTTTGACACATCTATTCATTTAATTTTCTTACCCTTTTATTCTCTTTATCTCTTGGTTCTCCCTCTATAATATATTCTTCCTTTCTCAATTTTTTGTAAGAAAAAACCTAGAAAGCCACCACAATTGCTTTTTTTTTTTTTTTTTTTTTTTTCCCTGCCTTGCTCCCCCCATCAATCGTATAACATAAGTTCCAAAGATGGCATAAAAGATTTCATACCGTGCATAAAAAAGATCACATAACCAGAAATACCTTTAGATATTTATCAAGGGATTTACACCTTTCTTGAACCACAGGCATATCAAGCCCTGATGAAAGAAAATGTTTTGGAGGCAAGCTAAGATTATATTCAGGAAATTCCTTCAGACGCCGATGTAACTCTTCAAAATGCCGGAACCTGATGAAATAACAGCTTTCAAAATCCAGCAGAAAGAAGAAAAAGACTACTTCAACCAAAAAAAAGGAATTTGAAAATCCCAAGCTGCAAGACAGGAACAGAACCTGTAATAAAAATGCACTATTTTTGCTTCCACCTACCTTCTTTTGATAGACCAACAATGATTATTTGCATCCGTCACGGCAATTGAATACACAGCAAATGTTACTGAACCACTCTTAACAATATTGGCTCCAAAAACCTGAATCATAAAATTCATCCACATCATTTGCAGTAAGCCTTGATGATTTCCATCATTTGTGCATCTTAAATTAAAAATAAAATCATAAAAAACATTAGATTCACCTCACATCTAAGCTTTAGAAATGAATCAGCCAGCACAGAATTTTCAGCAGATTTCAAAGACAAAGTAGATGATTCAGAAGCTGAGATGGAAGGCCTGGGTGAAGAAGATGCAGCAGCCCCACTATGAATCCTACCAACAATTTCAACGTCCGGTTCATCACTCAGTTCCTCCACTCTATCATCTTTATTTAATTCATTTAGTATATCATGCCTTTCACCTAACAAAAAGGAAGATCTCTCAATCTCTTGCCAAAGGGGAGTCTTCTGATTACCCGGCCTGATTCTTTTCCTCCCTGATGGTGTTCTCAATGTCCTCGGATGTCTAACATGGCTTTTAACCTTAATTTTTGTTGAATGAAAATCAGGATTTTCAAGTGGATGTCTTATGTGTGAAACAGAGGCATTTCTTTTGTTTTTGCTATCCCAGACTCTCGTTCCTGGAGAATCAAGACCCGTCACATTGCTGCTTTCTTCATCTTCAGTCTCGTACGAGCTTTCACTAACTATTTCAAGCTCTCCCTCATGAACATCTGGCATTTCTTGATATGGATTGGAAAGGTGGAGAGCTGAACCAAACATGTCAGAATGAGCATCAATCAAAGATGCATCAAAGCTAGCTGCCTTATCCTTCTTCAAATAACCAGAAGTTGCTGCAGATTTCTTTGTGCTGTTGTTGCAAATTGATGTCCCACTTGTGTTTTGTTTCGGAGGTTGTTTTGATCCTTCCTTCTTCCTATAGTTTCTTCCTTTTGCCCAAATATTTTCAAGATGTTCTGGAGCAAGAGCTTGCCGCTTCTTTTGGGAAATTATATCCAAAATATGGCCCCACTCTCCTTTAGAAATGGATGACACAGTTGGGTCGACATGATTAGTTTGAGTATCTGGTAATGCTTGAGCTCCATCATTGATGGCTCCTGGCATCAAAGGTGTCTCATGAGTGCCTACTGAACTACGACCTGAAGAATGTTGATGCTTCAAACCGGTTGCTCCGTCCGCTTGTTCATTCGAAGCAATTTTAGATGGGCCAGGCTTAAATTGTACGAGTTCGAGGCCCACAGCTGAACGATCCTGTAACCCAGAAAGCTGTTCGACGGATGGCTTTGAAGATGCATTAGACTTGACATTGGCTGTCAGATCAGTTGAAGTATTAGAATCCTTATCAGCCTTGTTGGCAAGAGAAAGAACTAAAGACTCAATCTTTTCATTGATAAACCTGAAATGAAAATGGAAACAAAATACTAAATTGGGCAAAGGCAAAAAGGTTAAATGAGAAAGAATCAATGAACTGAAATATATAATTAACTACCTTGGGTTGGCCAAGTTTAAAACTGGGCGAAAAACAGCACAAGCAAGAAGCTCTCTAGTGGTATATTGAAAGAAATAGCACTCAAGGTCTTTGGGCCTAAAAGTGGTAAGCATGAGCCCATTCACCAAATGCTGCAAAACCTGGGCATTGGATTTTGGGGAAGAAAAGAGGACTTTTATTTTCTCAACAAAATTCAAAGTCATGCCAGCAAACTCTTTTTTAAAAGAAAGAAGCCTCGCAATACAAGTCCAAAGTATAAACTTTTTTGGGAAATTTAAATAAGTAGAACACTATTATTATATATTTACATAAACTAAAATTTCATATTTAATACATAGCACTTTGGTACTAAATCTATGCATGAAATGGTATATTTCACTTTTAAAAAGTGATAATAATGTTATTCTTATGTGGTATTAAAGATTAAAGTGCCATGTCCATAAATATGAAGGTTTAGGCGCGAGATATGTAAATACATAAGAATTATCTGCTGTATAAATTCCCCAAACTTTTTAAGGTTCATCATCAAGATATTCCAATAATTAGATCAAATGGACTGAATCAAGGGCAAAGCAAAACAATAGAATGCAATAAGAAGTTGAAAAAATAATTTACTGAAAATCCTTTCACTAAAAGAGCTGAATTAGCACAATAAAGCAATAATGGCTTATCATTCCAAATTCAAAGAAGAGAAAAATAAATAAAGCTTCGGATTTCAACTTCTAAATTATATATTTCTGCAATAACTAGTCAATTTTCCTTGTATGAGGGACCTACAACCTTATGTTCAGCTTTTGGAGAAAACAAAGCTGGATGCAACTTGCTCTCAGCAGCCAGAACATGCTTCAGCTGAATATCTTGATGATCAGGGGTAAGCTTCTTCAATTCCTGCCTTCCAATCTTGGATACGCTCGTACGATAAATTTCCAAATGATTACAAAACAGATTAATGATATCCCTGCATGATTTTCCATAACTCCATTACAATAAATAAACAGATTTACATACATAGCACATGATTCTTATGTATTTACATATCTAACACCTAAGCTTTCATATTTACAAAAACATAACACTCAAATCTTTAATACTCAAATCTTTAATATCACATCAAAAATAGCTCTATTATCATTTTTTTTAAAAGCAAAATACATCTTTTCAGGCATAGGTTTAAAGTACCAAAGTGCTATGCGATTAAATATGAAACTTTAGATGTGAGGTATGTAAATATATGAGAATTGCATGCTAGATATGTAAATTTTCTCGACAATAAATAAACAGGTATTCTAGTATTCTTGAATAGAATGTTAGTAATATGGTGATAAAAACCTGGTAAGAAGCTCAATAAGATTTACATCTCTAGCACGACTTGAAATTTCGCCAAAAACATTATTTATAATCTGAACCAGTTCTTCTGGACCATCTTTATCAGGTGTTATGCGAGAGTACCAGAGATCTGTTACCCACTCTGAAACCAAGTGTCTGGTAAAGTGGTCAATTGCCTCTTCAGTAGGAGGTGAATTCACCTTACTTCTCCAGTTGATCTTTTCAAGGGGAAAGTCGTGAGGCTTGATAGACTTGATTTTGGAAGATGGATCTAAAAGAGGTTGATTGCTGCCTGCTTTTGACTTCTTGTGGATATCAAGATCAAGTGAGATATATCGGAAGAAAACGATCAAAACGGCAGCTGCGGGCAAGTTCACCCAGACTGAGGAGCTAGTTACTGAAATAAAAAATTTTGGAATCAACAGTGAAGAGGACAGCTAAACAAAGGAAAGAAAATAAACCTGAGAATTTTAGATGAAATGTGAAGATACATAAGGATGATTAGATCAACATGGGTTATTAAGCATCCAAAGCATCCAAAGTGAAACTTCAACAGATATTCATTTTATAACATACCCAAACAACAGAATGGTAAACAAAGATCCGCCGAAAATGCTGAAAAAGCAATTAGAACTGCGTGCACAGAAATGCCATTGCACAGGGCACGGAATGCCAGAATGATAAATTTGTAATCATGAAAATGGTTGTCAATGAAAAAACTTGGTAATATGATAAGAGAGAATTGTTTAGTACTTCACGCCATTATTTATACAAAATTTATATCGTGTTAGGACAGTTTCTAATAGAGAACATAACGATTATAAAATAATTACAATAATAAACAAATTGATAAGTAGGCAGAATAATAATTTTTATGAGAAGAAATAGTACTAAAGATTGTATTTTTCATCATGACTAGATTCCTCAAGATAAAAGATTTCAACGCTTTCATTATCAAATCCAATCCAACACCCTCGCACAATTTTTTTGAAAAAAAATGATATAAAAAATCAAATACAACAATACAATTGAATCTTTAGTTAACTTTGAATGGATTAACAGGTTGGAAATAATTTAGGCACATGATAAAATTTAGAGTTTGGGGATTTATTTATAACAACATCTAATTGGGCCCCGATGGCAGTCAAGTATCTAATAGCCATATTACTTTTTTTTTGTTGGAGAAAAAAGAGCATATGAAAAAATTTGTGATGGGAATGATTAAAATAATAAAATAATGGGGCAAATTATTGGTTTGTGGAATAGCGAGGGAAGGTTACTATGTAGGGGTTACGGTGTTTGGAAATGATAACAGGCTAAAGTTGTTGTTAGACAGCAGGTTTGACATCTTTGGCGGTTGTCCCGGCTGCAAACAACAGAGAAAAGTCAGAATTAGCAATGTTCGTGCGGCGAGGAGGTTCCACCACCTGTTCCTACGCGAAACATAAATACACCACTTGCAAAAGAAAGATGATACGACACTCTGGAGAGCCAAATTCAGAGAAACATCACTCAAATTTATAAAAACAACAAACTGAGAATCCAAACAGCCCAATACACATATATAAAAGTCTCTTAATAAGAGATAACACAATTAGAAACTAGTAAAATAAGAAAAACAAGAAAGGAAAGAAGTAAGACAAGAGAAATTGCGGAAAATAATATAAATAAAATAAAAAGGCAGCTTATGCTGCTATTCCCGCACTCGCAGGAGCCGAGAGTCGGGGAAATCGCAGCATCGCATGAACTCCCGCATCTTTCATCAATCTCCCAGGGTGGTAGAGGCTTCTCCCTCATCTTCGAAAACACCTGGATCCCATTGTCTGTTATTCTTTCTCATAAAACACGTGTGCAGAGTTCCAAAGTACTTGTTCACCACTCCTATCTGACCATCTATCAGTGACAACACTACAAAACTGACTTAGGACTTAATACTCAGCTTACTTTATAGAGTCTTCCAGAAATAGATCAAATATTCTCATCTCGATCTGAATTGATGACATGCTAAATCGCTCTCAATAGTGGCAACCTTAAGGACTAATGGGATTGAATGTTAGGGGATCTTGAAACTCCTCTAGTGCGAGGTCAAACTACCTCGGATTCCATGACACCGGTTTCTAGCATCATCAAGTTCCGTGTCACTGGTGCATCTCTCATAGTTTATAAAGATGTGGCACGAGCCACTAAAATTTTTGTCTCATCCAGAGTATCTATCACAACTGACTCCTCCAACGTCAAGAGTACAATACACTTCTCGTTCATGATAAATGAGTCGATACTTTTACAACCATCATGAATGTACCCCTATCATATTGTCATGATCGGCTCAAAAGAATGTGACACTCATTCACATGCACCACATCATACCAAACCTGATCCTGCAGCTTGTCTCTCATAGAAACTCCACGAGGCACCTCCTTTCAACACTTTTCATACATTTTTTTAATCAGGTAAAAGAATATAATTGATAATGCTTCTGGATAGTGAGGTTCAATTTATCCACCAATTATATAAATGTTATATTTTCATAACTTCTTCGATCAGTAACAAGGCTACACACTTTTCCCTTTATGGTGCAACACATATGAAATATGTTGCGTTGGAGAGTCGTGGAAACTAGTGTTGCATGAAATCCTGCAACCCACGTCACTCACCCATGGTGATAGTGGCTTCTCCCTCATCTTCAAAAACACATGGATCCCATTGTTTGATGTTATTTCTCATAAAACACATGTAAATATTTCCAAATTACCGGTTCATCACTCCTATCTAACTATTTATCAGTGACAAAACTGCTAAACTAACTTGGGACTTAATACCCAGCTTAATTTATAATCTTCGAGAAATAGCTCAAATATTCTCATTTCGATCTGAAATGAAGACATGCTAGGTCATTCTCAATAGTGGCAATCCAGGGAGTAGACTGAATGTTAGGAAATTTTTAAACTCCACTAGTGAGGGTTACACTGCCTCAGATTCCATGACACTGGTTTCCAGCATCATAAAGTTCAGTTTCAATAGAGCCTCTCTCATAGTTTGTAAATATGTGGCACAAGCCAATTCCTACCTTGTCCAGAGTACCCATCCAAATTGGCTCCTCCAATGACAGAAGTACAATACGCTTCATGTCCATGATAAGTTAGTTTGTATTTTTGCAACCATCATAACATGTACCCTATCATATTGTCATGATCGGCCCAAAAGATGTGACACTCATTCATAGGCACAAGATATTGAAAACTTCTTGTAATTAAACTCCGTCTGTAAAGTGTGACGATCATCTAGTTACATTGTTATTTCTCTGCCATCAATGCTAAGTTATGCACATCAAGTAGGGGGCCAATAAAGCTGCAATTGAACAAAATTATTGATATATGGTCTCAATCCTCCAAGTAATCTTGACACTGTCTGCTCCTCTAATTCCACCAACTCACATTTCAGCATGAGTTGATCGAAGTCAGTTGTGTACTCCAAAGAAATATCTCTCTGGAGCAAATTATGGAATTTTATGAACATATCATGCCAGTAACATGGGAGAAAATATTTGCTATGCATCTCTCATTTTATCTTAGATCACGCGATGATCTTACTCTTCTCTTTCTTTTTGTCAAATAAGCTTCAAGTTCTCTCACCACAATGAAGCATTTTTCATGAGCTTGATGGTTGTCAATTTAATTCTTTTATTTTGAGGAACATTGTTTTACTCAAAAAATAATTCCACAATTTGAAATCACTTAATAAACTCATCAGAATCCATGTGATCGTTGAAATTTTATATATCCACATATATTCTAAGATTATGGCATCCCCTCTGATATTTCATATCGAATCGTCGAGGTAGTGATTCTTCATCACTGGAAACTACCTGATGGAAGAGATTCACTTCCTTTTTTTGACTGACGAGTCACCGTTGTGTTTATGGATGACCATCACTTGATTACCTCCTCTCAAAAGCGATAAGTTTCTGCTACAATTGGAAGATTATTTGTTACATGTCCTCCATAGTGAGTCCTCAATATCTCTCTGAGGATTTCTCCTTGACGGCATGGCATCATTTTCTTTGGATCAGCTTTTTGGTGGATATAGGATTGCAAATCAAGGTTGATCGTGGCTTAAGTTTTGGTGTAGGTGTTTTGGTGAAATTTTGGTGAAAATAAAAATCTAGACTTGAAAATTTTTTATCTAGGTTTAGGAATTGAAGTAGGAATAATTTGGGCATGATCGAATCCTGCTTTTAGAATTTTAAATTTACGACAAGACAAATCCCCAAAATTTTAGAATTTGTCAGGCTCTGATACTAGATGATACTGTTTCAGGGCACCTAAAAGGTGGCTTGGGAGCGGGTATTGCGGAGAGAAGATTGTGGAATAGCAAAGGATGGCTAATATGTGGGGTACAATGTTTGCAAGACATTAGGAGGTAAAACTGTTGTTGGACAGCAAGTTCCGCGTCATCAACAGCTCTCCCGACTGCAAACAGTGGAGAACTTTCGAATATGTTCAAGCAACGAGGAGGATCTACCATTTGTTCCTAAGCAAAAAACAAATACAACACTTGCAAAAGAAAAAAGCTATAACACACACGAGAGCAAAATTCAAATAAAAGTCACTCAAATTTATAAAATCAACAAACTGAAAATTCAAACTGCCCAATACACATATAGAAAAGTCTCCTAATAAGAAGTATCCTAATTAAAAATTAGGAAAATATGAAAAAACTAGAAAGGGAATGAATTGTCGAAAATAATATAAATAAAATAAAAAGGCAACTTATGTCGCTATTCCTAGAATCACACAGCCAGGAGTCACCGAAACCGCACTATCGCATACACTCTTGCGTCCAACATCAATTATCAACAAATACTGTAATAATTTGAAATATTTGCAACAATGCAATGATAAATGCAATAGTAATGAGACTAGTTTGTGGCGAGGCAACGATGAAAATTGCAAGAATGACAAATATTCACAACAGTATAGCAATGAAAGTATAGTTCTGATAAAGGAAAAAGAAAAGAGTTTAACAATGAAGAATGTAATATTCTAGTAATGCAATGACAAAGACTATTGTAGTGGAAATACAAAGAGAGAAATGACCTAAACCTGTCATACCATGAAAAGAATTAGACATAATTTACTTGGTACTTCATTCAAAGATTTACATAGTATTTAAATAATCCTATGAGAACTTTTAATATATAACATAATAATTATAGAATAATTATCATGGTCTATGGATAGATGAGTACAACAATAGCAACAACAACAAAAACTTTATCCCACTAAGTGCAGTCGTCTACATGAATCCTTTTTCTTTATTGTGTCTCATTTAGTGTCATATTTTTATTTAATTCTAATAAGTTAAGATCATTTTTATACAATATACCCAAGTCTTCCTAGGTCTACCTCTGTCTTTCTTAACATAAGTGAAATCTAAAACATTTGCACTCCTAATCTGATCATCAGACGATCGACGTTTAATGTGACAAAACCATTTAAGACGACTCTCTCTAATTTTGTCCGTCACTAGAGCTACACCAACCCAATCACGAATATATTCATTTCGCATTTTGTCGCATTTTGTCTCTATGCAAAGCCACTTATCCAACTAATCATTCTCATCTCGGCAACACTTAACTTGGTTTTAATGAGGTGATAGCAAAAGAGGAAGAAATGATAGCATATGACTTGGTGCATTGCACATGATATCTACTAAGGCGTAGGAAAGAGGATAAATTTGTAAACAAATAGCAATAAAAAAATTGTGAGCAAAACCTTCATGTAATTTCCAAAACTAACAAGGCATTTCTGAATAGCGGCTATGAAACATAAAATTTATTGCACTCCTAGAATACAAGGATATTTTATGAATCCCAAAAAAGTATGTTGGAAGCTTAGTTTTGGTTCCTTCTCACTCCAATAGCTTCATTTTTTTATCAAGTTATCAAAGCTCTAGAATCATTAAATCACACCTTATGCTTGTAGTCTGATGATTTAAAATATTAACAACATCACACGATAAAACTATACATTCCTTCATAGACAATCAGATAATTCCTATTTGAAGAGTTTTCAGTTGGAATTCCTCACATGTGTAGGAATCCTAGAGAGTGAGCAAGTTCATCTTAAGGTAAGCTCTTTAGGTGGTGCTATTAAACTAGATGTGTAGTGCTTAAGACTTTAAAATGTTTTCAACATAAAAAGCTATCTTGCATTCAAAACCTTGGCCTTCTAAATCAAAATAGGGTAAGTTTCTCACACCTTATTTGGAACTCTAAAAATGATAAAGTGATAGTTATCAAATACAACTAACATATCATAAGAAAGTTGCAAAAATAATTATGATTACCCCTTTTCTATTCATTAAATCTTCATCCTCCGGAAAAGTATTTATGTGTGCATGTGTGTGTGCCCTTAATCACACACATACACACAAACACACACACATCCATGGCGTTTCCAAATTCTAAATTCCATTTTTGTTGGCGAACACTCTTCCTTTATGGATAAATGCAAAAAAAGAAACATTAAAGATAATTAGCATGCTTTTCCAATTGAAATTTTGTAAATTTGGTAGGGAGGGGATATCGGGAGAGGACGCATTGGTAAAATGCATGTCGTTTATTTAAAAGAGTGCAGACCAACTAAGCTAGAAAAAATATTTGAACTTCACCTTCAATAGATTTCATTAGGGGGCTTCTGTTAAATCGCAATTTTAGTAGTGTCTAGTTTTTTTCCAAGTTCAATTGTCCTGATTTATCAAATAGCTGAAGCCAATTCAGCTTTCATAGCTGTACGGAATAATAAGACATACCCATACTTCAAAATGCATGAAAAACCTTTTATGCTCTAAGGACATGGAATCATGAATGTATGATGAAAGTACCATCACTAGAAGGTCCTGGGAGAAAAAAAAAATTTCATATTTTGACACATTTAACGGGCAAAACTCGCATCAGGGAGGTTCTTTAGTAATGGAATTTGCATATAGGCTAAAGCAAAAAAAATCAGAAGTGTATTTTAACGTTGTTCCAACACTCTGAGTAAAGAACAGTGAGTTGCACTAAAACCAAATGAAGTTTTAGGCGAAACCAAGCAAATCATTTGCCCGCGTTCTCAAAAGAAAGTGTCAGAGAGGCTTAAATCATTCAACCCAATTACACCCATGGCGCAACTGACGGAATGTTTGGCCGCCAAATTAAAGTTTTAAGGTTTGAATTTAGGTGAAAATTGTAAAGATGGTATAGAGAAATCAGTCTCCCTAAAAATTGGATGAAGCGCAGATAGTATCCCAATATAAATGCGGCAGTAAATCCGGAGACGAATTTTCCGGAGTAAATCCATGATATCTCTTATGAGTCGGGAGCATATAAAGACCAAGAAAAGCAACTGGAATAAGGAATCCTAGACAAACAAAAGAAAGGCAGAATCAAGTTTAAAAAATTATGCGCACCATTGCTACTGAGATCTCACTGCCGCAAATTTAAAAAAAAAAACAAAAAGAAACAGAACTAACTCCGGAGAAGCCCGGAAGCAACAGAAAGGGACATACGAGACATGAGATAGGAGAGGCCGAAGAGACATATAAGAAACAAAATCACCCGCTTCTTTGCTTCTTCGATCAAATCTCGCACTGTATGCCTTGCTGTACTCATGGTCATTGCAGTTGATGCCGATCGCCGACCCTAACCGAACTCCGATCACATCAGAGCTGCCATTAAATCGCGAGGAAAATAGATTCCGGCAGCCGATGAAAATAGGCGGAGCGGCCTAGACAAGGGGAAGAAGAATGGGCAGTTTGATTCACAGCGCTAACCTCTGCTCCTCGATGACCGCATCGCATCCGCTTCTCCAACAGTCCTTGTCCCGGCTGAGCAAGCGGCCAGCGCCATTTACAAAATAAACCCGCACATTCTGCTAAATTACAGAACAAAACAAAGTGGGATTTACATATATGTACCACTAAAGTACTCATTTTTTTATCTTAAATACTTAAAATTTAATATTTATTAGAATTTATCATAGGATTTACTAAATATAGTGGAACTCTATTATGGTGGTTCCGGGGATTTATGATTTCTTTTTATTTAGAGTCTATTAAGTGCAGTTGTAGTTTATTAAAAAGTTGAGGAGCAGCAGTTGTGGCAGGAAACAGCTCCGGATAGGTTAGTTGTCTGTTTATTTTTTTACAATTTTGATATAGTTGTTTCTGAACAAATTACATTTATGCTCATGTATTATAGTGTTGTTTATGATCGAACTAATCATGTTAACACATTCCATGCTTGAAAGCAAATATTTAATTTGAATGTTACAAAATAAACACAGACACCTCACAAAATAGTAACATGATGATTAAAATGAAAAAAATATATATATTAAAATAACAATTAATAATATCACAATTTTATTTTTAAAATTCATTTGATTTATTTCATGAGATAAGTCGTCCTTCAAAGGAACACTTCACGTCTGATCACTATCGACGATGGAATCCTCTAACCTACTTACCCACCTAAGGAAATCAAAAGTTTTTGTTTCTCCTTAAACACGTGTAAAACTGTCTTTCGTAGTTTTGTGGTTGTCACGAAGCAAGCGATGAGCATTTTGTCCAAAGTACAAGTACAATGCTCTAAAGGTACTTGAAATCCTCAGACTCATCTTTTATGAAGTTTTAAAACAGCACAACATAAAGCCTTAAATGCAACATTAGTTAAAATAAATAATACACAACATAAAGCGTCGGCACTATTTTTGGTGTGGGGTTTGCCCGTTATAAGTAATTAATTCAAGTTTTATGAAATTGTGAGGTCTCAGAGAACTTAGTATAAACCAATTAATATGTTTCTACAAGAAGATAATAAACCTTATTAAAAAAAGGTTTATCGATTGCCTTGAAACCATGTAATACCGAGCTTGTATGCCTCACATATGTATATCACCAAAAAAACTATTCAAAACAATCTCACAAGTCATAGAACTAAAAAAGAAGAGGAACTTAGTTGCTTTCATTGGGATTTCACAAGCGTCAGGTACGAATGACAACATATAGGTAATCTAGAAGAAATATGTTTTGGGCCCCTAGGAGTTAGAAACTGGTGCCAGACTTCTAGGGGCTCAATTTAATCGTCCAGAAAGGTATTTTGGGTGCCTAAGAGGGCAGGGCTAGAGTCTAGGTGTCGATCAAGCCCCAAAAACTCTGATTTACATTTGGAGTACCCAACAAAGGTTTTTTCATAATCCATAAGTTGTGGGAGACTCCATATGAGTGAAATACAGTTCATAACTTTAAAATTAAGTATTTTGATCTTCCATTCACCTAAAAAATCACCGCCAACGATCGCCCTAAGTCACGGTGCATGTAAGGTCTCCGAAGCTTAATTTTCGTGCTACTCGCGAGGGAGGACTCTATGACTTCCCTTGGCCGCGGGGGGTTCCAGACGGATGTGCCGTGACTTCTAAATAATAGAATTGGCATTGAATATGTGTCATGTACTGGATGAGCCCCTCTGATGGTGGATTCTTTCGGGTGAGGCTAAATCACCACCAACCCTAGCTTCATGTCCCCAAACAAGGGCTAGAGAGTCTTTGAAGCTACGAGATGCTACGGAAAAACCGTAGACTATCTCGATTCGTGCAGGTAAACACCCTACACTTGTGACATCAAAAAGTGATGTCAACAAACTATCAAGGGTGAATATCTTATTATAGACCATCAAAACCAAAACATAAAACATGCAATGTTTATATTACATATTATATTCACGGTTGTCTCAACGACCATTCAAGTGGCTAAGAATACATGCATAAGAATAGGAAATAAAATTTTGATTCAAATTATAAATCATTTGCATAAAACATCGATACAACAAACAATAAATGTTTTCATAATACATTGCAAATAAAGTAGCAACAAAAAACTAACAATCCCTCTATTCAGCCTCCAACTATGACATCTATAATTCATTCCCTAAACTCTATCATTTCTCATGCCCTTTCCCCATCCTGGATGCAAGTCTTAGGTGAATCACTTTCAGCCTGTGATAAAAATTACTCTTGGCAATATTCATATGTTTTAATAGGGAGATGTGAATGATCTTCATCAGCTTTATTAAAGTAAATTTCATTGTTCGAAGGATGTCATCGAATATAGTTGTTAAGAGTCATTGTGGCAACCACAATATACTTTTTTTTGGAAACAAATATGTCGTTGTATGAATCATTTCTTATTTCAAACTCCAAATATTATTTCAATGACACCATGTAAGATTGAGTGTCTTTTGTTGAACATCTCTTTCCTACTTCGAGTGATATTACTAGCTCGCTCAAAATCTGGAATGTGATATTTGGTATCAGGAAAGGTTGAGATACACTTTTTATAATAAATATCCAACATCAACCAAATAATATTTTTTTTATTTTAATATTACTCATCAGTATTGCACGAGAAGTTAGTATTTCATTTGTTAATATTCAAGCTAACGTGGAGGTGACTTTAAAAAGTTTTACTTTTGAGTTTGCGTAGAAAAATTGAAAATATGAATGTCGTGTGCACTGTCTTTCATCCAGCAAATATAAAAGTGAAGCATATATTAAAATCACATACAACCAACACATTTTATGTTGGTGAACTACATCGTCCAATGTATGTAAACTTTTCACTGTAGAACATACGTGCATCCTCATGTGTTCCATCAATCGCTCTAATATAATACTAAAACAATTATCAAATATATTAGAGATAATTTGTTTGGGCAAATTTAGAGAAAGATGAACAATGAAACTACCTTAAAATATGATAAATGAGGTTTTCAGGTACGATAACTTTTGAGACAAGCTAATAGAGCATTTAGTCAGCTGAGAAATATTTGCTATTTGTTTTATATAAGTGTTGGAATCGCTCCATGACGCCTCTCATGGACTCATTTTGTGATAAAATATAGAT